AAAACACCCTAAAAAATCTCACAACATCTCACAACACCCTCACAACACCCTCACAACACCCTCACAACAACCTCACAACACCCTGACAACACCTCACAACACCCTCACAACACCCTCACAACAACCTCACAACACCCTGACAACACCTCACAACACCCTCACAACACCCTCACAACAACCTCACAACACCCTCACAACACCCTCACGACACCTCACAACACCCTCACAACACCCTCACAACACCCTCACAACAACACCCTCACAACAACCTCACAACACCCTCACAACATCCTCACAACAACCTCACAACACCCTCACAACACCTCACAACACCCTCACAACACCCTCACAACACCCTAACAACAACCTCACAACACCCTCACAACACCCTCACAACACCTCACAACACCCTCACAACACCCTCACAACACCTCATAACACCTAACAACACCCTCACAACACCCTAACAACAACCTCACAACACCCTCACAATACCTCACAACACCTCACAACACCCTCACAATACCTCACAACACCCTCACAACACCCTCACAACACCCTCACAACACCCTCACAACAACCTCACAACACCCTCACAACAACACTCTCACAACACCCTCACAACACCCTCACAACACCTCACAACACCTCACAACACCCTCACAACACCTCACACCTCACAACACCCTCACAACACCTCACAACACCCTCACAACACCCTCACAACACCTCACAACACCTCACAATAACCTCACAACACCCTCACAAGACCCTCACAACACCTCACAACACCCTCACAACACCTCACAACACCCTAACAACACCCTCACAACAACCTCACAACACCCTCACAACACCTCACAACACCCTCACAACACCCTCACAACACCCTCACAACACCCTCACAACACCCTCACAACAACAACCTCATAACAACCTCACAACACCTCATAACACCCTCACAACGCCCTCACAACACCTCACAACACCTCACAACACCTCACAACATCCTCACAACACCCTCACAACACCCTCACAACACCTCACAACACCCTAACAACCTCACAACACCCTCACAACACCCTAACAACAACCTCACAACAACTCACAACACCCTCTCAACACCCTCACAACACCCTCACAACACCCTCACAACACCTCAACACCCTCACAACACCCTCACAACACCTCAACACCCTCACAACACCCTCACAACCTCACAATACCTCACAACACCCTCACAACACCCTCACAACACCTCAACACCCTCACAACACCCTCACAACACCCTCACAACACCTCAACACCCTCACAACACCCTCACAACACCCTCACAACACCTCAACACCCTCACAACACCCTCACAACACCTCAACACCCTCACAACACCTCACAATACCTCACAATACCTCACAACACCCTCACAACACCCCACAACACCCTCACAACAACCTCACAACACCCTCACAACACCCTCACACCAACACCCTCACAACACCCTCACAACAACCTCACAACACCCTCACACCAACACCCTCACAACACCCTCACAACACCCCACAACACCCTCACAACAACCTCACAACACCCTCACAACACCCTCACACCAACACCCTCACAACACCCTCACAACAACACCCTCACACCAACACCCTCACACCAACACCCTCACAACACCTCACAACACCTCACAACACCCTCACAACAACCTTCACAACACCCTCACAACACCTCACAACAACCTCACAACACCTCACAACACCCTCACAACAACCTTCACAACACCCTCACAACATCTTCAAAATCGAACCTGGATATTGTGCTGCTCTAAGCCCTCTCGTGTCTCTGCATCTCCTGCCCCAACTGTTGACAATGCAAATCGTGAGGTGGTTGCGCTTTATTTCCATCGCTGGCAAGTCACCGAATGTTCACGCCAACTGGCCGCTGCTGCTGCTGCTCACATCGTAACCTGCTGGAAGAGGGCTTCCCCAAGCCAATATGGTCAACGGAGTTGTTTGACCATACTTCACCACGCCGGTCAGTGTGGGTTGATCTAGGAGCAGGTACAACATTTATCCTGACACCACTCACCACTGATGTCACGTTTGCGTCGTGTACACTTTTATATCGTTGTGTTTACAAGCGCATGTTATATATCTGCATATATATTACCTTATTTACACACGTGGGATTAGACGGCGAAACAGAGAGAGAGGAACGCGTGGGTTAGAGAAGTGGCTTCGGTTCACGACATCACCCAAACTGTTCAAGAGAAGTGAGTGGCAGTCATATGCCGATGACGGCTTAGAGAAGCCTGCATCGAGCAGTGGACAGATCACGGCTCACGATGATGACCAATGTTGTTTTTTTCTTACACAGACTTTGGCGAGTATCACCGCCGGTTGTTTGGCAGTCGTCGTGAGCACAGTTCTTCGTGGCGAATCTGCGACTGGATCTAGTCAATTCTTAAACACCACTGGCAAACCCGAGGAATCTAAAGACAAACTTCGAATTGTTTGTTGACCATGTGGCGAGCGGCCTCGGCATCGAGCTGCCGCTGTGCGAACTCCCCCGAGTCCTCCTCTCACCACGTGGTGAGTTCTCCACCACGCGGTGGTGACTTCTCCACCACGTGGCGATGAGTCGGGTTTGCCAGTGGTGTTAAAGAATTGACTAGATCCAGTCGCAGATTTGCCACGAAGAACTGTGGTCACGACGACTGCCAATCAACAAACACCACGTGGTGATGACTTCTCTACCACGCGGTGATGAGTTCTCCACCACGCGGTGATGACTTCTCCACCATCGTAAATTAAAATCTGAAACGCCACAGGCACACTCGCAACCGCGACTGGACGGCTGCTGATTTGCGAGTGACATGTATCCTTTCTTCGTCTCATTGTGTCAAAATCGCTGTTATTTTCTATTCTACATTCTGTTGTCTTGTTTGAGTTTATGTGCCATTGACTTTTCTGTGCGATTGAGTTGATGTTTGAACGAGGTTGTGTGTGATCAGGCTTACGTGCGATGGTTTTCATTTCCTCTGTAACCCTCTGCCACGACCGATCCCGGCCACAGACCGAGCTGCCTGACCCTTGGGGTTCTCCACATGACATCGAATGTCTGTGTCTGTGTCTCGTGCACGTGAAGCCCAGGGTGTTTGTTTAAGGCTGACGGTGCTGTTTAATAGTCAGTAATACCAAGTAGTTTAAATGTCACTGGGATTAACTGAATATAGGCACGTTAGCTGTTTGTTGCATGTTAATCGTGCATTATTAATGCCTAAACGTGATTTATATAACGGTAATGATGGCGAGAATAAACCACTTGTGTTATGTGGCGGGATTATTACAAAGAGTAAGCTTTTGTAAGCCTAGATAATAGCGTAAACTCTGCGCGTGTATTTACTGGACTGTCGTCCTCAGAAGCGATGCGCTCCGCTAAATAACGACAACAATCACCGCTTGGTCAGCCCACCACTGGATGATGGCCTCGCCAAGATGCCGTCGGTCGTGGGGGTTGTTTGACCATACTTCACCACGCTGGTCAGTGCGGGTTGGTGAAGTGGGTTCCGATGTCACTCGCCACTGATGCTAGCCGTGGCCTGCAATCAAACTCAGTCGACCGGGGGTTGTTAGGCTGCTGTGGGTCTATGATATGAGCAGAGAGTGGTGCAGCAAAATCCGTTGTTGTACTGTACTATGCGTTACTACTCCCTTACTTCACCCTCCGGCAGTGGCCAGTGTAGAGAAATGTGGTCCAATACCTCCTAGGACCCACACGGCATAGGAAGGGCCTTATTGCAGTGGATTGATGAAGGGCGTGTAACGTGGTTATTGTTTTTCGATTTAAAGCTTTCGTGACTGCAGGGATTCATATTCTTGGTTCTTTCGGTAAAGTCGCGTACATTTTCTTGCTGTGGTTTTCACACCTGATGACGATTGCTTGTGTTGCAATCAAAACGTCGTGAGAATTTTATTGTTTTATTTTTATTATTTTATTATTTCCCTTCTACGTGACTTTACCGAAAGAACCAAGAATATGTGGTTATTGTTGTTGGAGTTGTTGTAGCTCAGCCGAATACAACAACAACACTCGCTCCTCTGGTGATCGCTGCGTCTCGCTCTCGGCTCTGGCTGGCCGGTGCCTCCACGTTTGCCCTCTGACCTCTGCCCATCGCATGTCTGGTGTCGGCTGGCAACCCCCTCCGCTGTGCAGGGTCACAGCGGTGCATTACCATGAGTGACTCATCTGAAAGCCACTGGAGGACGCCCCAATGAGCACGTTTGGCTATGTACGGTGCGATGCATGTTTGTTAGTTTAAAATACATACATCTCGAGGAACAGGGTCTCTTGATTCAACTTTACATTTGAAAATTACCACCGCCCAAAGGAGGAGGCTCCTCCGCCTGCCGTGATGCCGGGGTCGGCTGCCGGGTCAAGCTTTTGGTGGGGCGTTTGGCGGTGCCGATTGTCACCGTTTCTACCGGCTAGCGCCAAATGCCAATGGCCTTGGCAGTGCTTTGGCGAATGGCGGAGCCACGCGCGCTTCTCTCGCTTCGTCGCCGCTCCGTGCGGGCCACTTGGATCGCCTTCGCTGGGGCGGGGAGGCGAGCGCCACGCCCCCCCCCCCGTGTTTGTGTCCCGAATAAATTCCATCCACATGGATTTAAAAAGAAAAAAAAAACTTTCTATCTTTTTAATTTATTTAAAAAAATAACGTTTGAAGTTATAATATATATTTGAAAGTCATAAATTGATCAATCTGTGTGACTTTAAAGCAGTTTAGGGGAATATAGGAGGAATGAGGCTCTGGTGGCATGATATCCCTACCCATCATCAGGCATGGTCAATCCACTGCTGGATGAAGGCCTCCCTCCACTTCTCTCGATCGTGCGATGTAAGAGTCCACCTGACTACTGTCCATGAAATAATTTGACCACTCCATCTCCTCAATGGACGTCCTCTCTGACACGTGACTACAAATCTATTTTATTCAGAGGGGCGCCGCCCCACCGTCCCCACACGGCCCACGGCCGTGGGCCTGTCGGGCGGCACCTCTGCCGCACTTGGAGATCGCCGATCAGAACGCCCGCCGGCCGTGCCGCGACGGATCGTCGGCCCGCCCGGCGCCGCCGCCGCCGTCGCCGCCACTCGCTCCGCGAGCACGACGGCGGTAACGGCGACTCGCCGCACGAGCTCGCCGGCCTCCGATTCCCAGGCGGTGGTGGTGAGTAGCCGTTGAGTGACTGTTGCGTTTGGTGGCCACGGACCCCTGCTCCTCGGGGCACGGGAGCCGACCCAATCTCGGGGTGCTTTATCATAAACCAACAGCGCCGTGTTTACCCTCAAAATTAGCATGAATATTTACTGAGGCCCACACGATAATAGAATTCTGAGCCAGCCTTGTGTACACTGCAGGATCCGTGCTCTCGGGGAAATGATCGCTTTCACAAGACGCCTCCGCCGCTGCTTGTCTATAACGCACGCTCGCGCGCTCGCGCGTGCGACGCGGCGAGCACAAACACGGGAGGGCGAGAGGCGAGCGACGCGTTATCTCTCGCCGCCGCTTCCGGCTCCCTCTCCGCGCGCCGCACAGCGCTCTGCCGTCTGGCAGGGATGCCGAGCACCGTGAGCACCATGGGTGCCGTGGGCGCCGTGGGTGCCGTGGGTGCCGTGGGCCCCGTGGGCCACGTGGGCCCAGCGGGCGGCCGCCTCAGGGTGGCTCCGTTCACGGCGTCCCTTCGCCCAGCGCCCGGCGATAATCCCTCGCAACGCGCAACCAACGAATCGCCCAAGCAACGCTTCGCGCAACCAAAACATCACGCGGCTTGGCATACGCGTTGCGGAGGACAGAAACGAAGCGGGTGTCGGGCGTTGGATGTCGGACGTTGGATGTTCGCGGGCGCAGGCGGCACCTTCCGCTGCCCTTGCCGCCCCCGCGCGATTCACGCCGGGTCTCTTCTGTCGGTCGGCATCGTTACGCGCGCTTTGCTAAACCTAGCGCACTTCACACGGCGATATTGAAACGTTTGTTTTTGATACCGCCGAGAATCAAAACAAGTTTAATTTGAAAGCACATAAAAGTGGCGATGTGAAAACGCGGGGGCTGTGATCTGCGTGCCAGGATTTTGATGGCTTTACAAAAAAAAAAAACAGTAAACAAGAGACGCTCCACGGCAATGAAGGCGACGGGGACGCGCGCTTGGATACGGTTTCCGTGCGGAATTTGCCTCTCCAGAGCTGGCGCGGCGCGATGAATGCGCCCGGCACCGGGGGAATGGGGACACTCTCGCCGGGACCCCAAGCCGAGAGCGATTGTTTACACGCCGGGGAGAATATCAGGCCGGGCCATCGCGTCCCTGGATGTGCTCGCTATCGGGGAGAGGCAGACAGGCTTGTGTCCGCCTGTGCCACAGATTAGACGCGCGGAGTAACCAGGAGACGGTGCCTACAAAGCTGCTCCTTCTGCCGGGCCGTCTGTAGTGCTCGCGCTGCAATTTCCCTGACATTTCTGAGCTGGAAATGGGGAGACGAACCTGTTTCTGTGAGATAGTGCTGCTGCTGCTGCTCTCTCTCTTTTGCTCTCTCTCTCTCTCCCTCCCTCACTACCTCCCTCTCTCCACTCTCGCCGTCTTCCCGTCCCGCTCTCGTTATTGTCTCCTCTTTTCGACGACCTTTAGTTGCCGTTCAAATTGAAGGGCGGCGGCGAACGGGCGGACAGAGCCGTTCCGCCAAACTCGGCCACGTCGTTGGCGACGCTTGACGCGCGAGGTTTTTGATTCCCTCGTTAGAAAAACTCAAATCTCCAGGACGTCGTGCCGCTGGCCGAGCCGGGGGGCCCACGCGCCCGCGTCCCTCCGGCACCTCCGCTGACGCCCCGTTGCCACTCCCGCGCCCTCAGAGGTTTCCCCCCGGCTGAAACCGTACGCGACAAACGAACTTCGCACCGCCGGCACGCACTCCACGACCGACATGAGAGGAGCGCTTCACGCGGCACAAACAAAAAGCTCAAAACAAATGTAATCTGACCTCCCTGCCCCTGCGCACGCGGGCTGTCCGGGAGCTGTTTTGTGACGTCAGCTGCGGGCCTCATAGCCGGCTTCTGTTGTGACGCCCGTGAGTCACGGGAACTTTACGGAACACGCTTCGCTGATGTTGTTCCGCGTGTAAACAATCGCTTGGCATTCTTTTTGTCGTTGCAAGAAAAAATAAAACGACGAATCTCTTCGACCCATCTGTCGTGGTGAAATGCGCGCGTTTTATTTTCTTTGCCACCGCACCGCGTTTCATCGTTCGGCGCGAGGGGGCTCGCGTACAAAATGTGAAACTTATCCGCAGCTGTGAAGGAGCAATTCCCGTCGCGAGACAAAATATATTTTTAAGATATCATGAGAAAGTGTTTACGACGCAGATTTTATCGCCGAGAGAGGGTTTCAGTTGAAAGCTCTTCCGCGCAATCGTCCAATCTTCCTGCGGATTATTTCGTAGCGATAATGCCTCCGACAATTTGCAATTTGATTTGCTTACACGGAGTCGCGGCGTTGCCTGCTACAAGTACACGCTGTTGGCGCTCGGAGTTTTAATGCGGAGGACCAGCTTCCTCCCTCCCTCCCACAGCCGAGGGACGCGGCAGTGCGCAGGCGCGTCGCGGTTGAACACGGCGAAGGCAATTACAGCAGGATCTTGACATGAAATGCCCGGTGTTTGGGAAAAATACAAATACGTAAATACACATGGCGACGCACACACGCACGGGCGCATGCACGAATGCGTTTGCTGGTGTCTCGGAACGAGCGGAGGAGGAGGAGGAGGAAGCGTTCCCCGCCGCTCGGGGAGTCGCAGCGTGGCGTCCGACCGCGCGGGCTGCGTCCGTCTCCTCCCCTCCACTCATCGTTCTTTCCACTTCAGCTGCTCTCAAAGGCAACCTGTCAATTTCTTCATTTGGTGCGGCCCGCCCCGGTAATTAAACGGCAAATTATCATACGTATTGTATCGATGCAAACATACGCGCGCAGGTTAATTCCTGCCCGAGACGCATAATGGGGCCGCTGAACAGCCATTAGCTCCACGCTCACGGCTGATTTGCCCTGCGCTTTTTTGGCAAAGTCTCCTGAGGTTTCCGCTCGTCTCTCTCCAGCCTCGGCGAAATCAGCGGCCAGCAGCCCCCCAACCACCCCCCCCCTCCCGCCCACCACCCCCCACACACCGAGCACCACCCCTCCAACTGCGTGGCTTTGCCAAGACGGAACGCGCGTGGACGTGCGTGCGCTCGCACGAAAACTGGGTGGAATATTGGGTGCTGGGTGGAGTTATTGTATCGCGGGATTGTGCGTGGTAATGGTGATGGTGTGGGGGGGGGGCCCTTTTCCAGCAGTGGGTTGATCATGGCTGATGATGATGATGGTCATGATGCCGACACAAAACCAACAGAGCCGCCACTGCAAGCAAACACAGAGCTACACGACTACGCTGACGTGTCGCTCCACGTGCAACACAACCACACGCACGTGCGCCTACACGCACGTACCCCCATACATGCGCACGTTCTCCCACGCATGTACACGCACGCACGCACACCTGCACGCGTACACCCACACAGGCGCACGTACACCCACACACATTCGCCCACGTGCATGCACACAAACACGCACTGGCGCACACGCAGTCGCACGCACGCACGCGCACACACGGGACAGTACAAACAGATTGGCACGTGAAGTAGAAACATCCTCCCGTGCTTTACGAACACACACAAGCGTGCAAGTGACATTGGCTCTGCAAACGCGAGTGCGCGCGCACGCACGCGTGTAAATAAACAGCGCTCGTAAACACACGAAGAGACGCTGCCCGCTCGCTCGCCGGCACCCTCGCTGTGAGATTGTGACTCATCGCTACCCGGCAGTAATTCCGCACAAAGCAAAATTTGTCTCCTCCGTCCCCGCTGCCGCCGGCGTGAGTTCACTCGCTCGCTACGCACTCCCTGCTTAGCTCCGAGGCTCCGACTCTCTCCTGTTGTCTTCCGTGCTTCCCTCTCCGTGGGTCCGTGCGTCCCTGTCTGTGGGTCCGTGCGTCCCTTGGTATTGAATTTCGTCTCGCGTCATCGTTCTCTCTCTGCCTCTCGGTCTTTCCCCAAAGAACCATCCCTCCATCGACTCTTCAGTGCGTGCTTCCCTTCCGCTACCTCTTGTCAAGTCCGGACGTTCTCCCCCTTTCTGAGTGACTGACTCAGAGACCATACTTCACCGCGGTGGTCATGGCTCACTGTAGATGTTGGCCGTAGTCGGGATTCGAAGTCAGGTTCCCAGGTTCATGGGGCAGAGCGCTAACGCCTGCACCACCACTCTACCAATTATGGACATTAAATAATAAATTAGTTTCTACAAGCACCGGCCATTTAGATTCTGGACAATCAGTTTCGCAACATATGAATGCAATCGTCAGTGCCACGATCATCTGCAACCTTATTGTGACGCATGATGCCTTCGTCAAATCGTAATTAGCTTCTGATAATGAAGCCGTCGCTGTTTCGCAACACAATGCAGGTTTATTCAGCGGCGTCTTAATGCGACCGCATCCCAAGACGCTGCACAGAAATAACCTCGCGTATTCATTTTAAACGAGAGAAGCAGTGAGTGGTAGACATCAACGTGATTCTGTGGGTCTCTGTTCAAGTGTGTAGATCCATATGTGGTGGATATAGGTCTATGTATAGTATGTCTTCGGGTCTATGTAAGTCGATAGGTCTCCTATGTGAGCACATGGCTCTCTCTGTGAGTGCACGAGTGTCAATGTGAGTCGATGGGTTCGTATGCGAGTCTTTAGGAGGTCTCTGTGTGAGCATATGCCTTCTCCGCATGATTCAAAACAATACAATGACAAAGCGTCTACATGTGACTGGGTCTCAAGAGGATGCGCAGACACCGCCGGTGTGTTTATTGCAGAGAGAGCGAGAGAGAGGCAGCCGTGGGCAGCGGAGAAGCGGAAGTGTTTGAGCCTGAACAGAGGCAGGGAGTCGACAGAACGGATGGCTGGGGGAAGGGAGTTCCGGACAATGATTTGACCGTCACTCGCACCGGAATCTCCGGTTCGTGCGCGGATCATTCACCGTCACCACCATCAGCCGTGGTCAATCCACTGCGCACTCTTGAGGCTTTGGTTCCGCCTCTTCGTTAGATGTGTATGGAGACGTCGCGTTGGCTGTGAACCGTCGTGAGCGGGGCTTTGTGC